TTTGGTCCAGTAACTTTTAGTCGTATATCCAAAAGTAACAAAGTTAGTGTCGCACTAGTAGACGTGAACCAAATTATCTGAATAGCCAACCACCGCACAGTGGGGTATTTGAATTAATTAGCTGCCCAAAATTTCAATTTGACACAATTAAAAAAATTCACGCAAAATTGATTCCGGAGCAAAGCCAAGAGATCAATGAACTATAACAAGGATGGGGAAATAATAATAATAATAACATAAAAACAATGTTGTTCATGAAACACCTACCAATAAATCGTGCCCATGCAAAGGTTATGGGCTATGAAGATTTAAAAAAATTATTGGTGAAAATCGAATTCAAGAAACGCGAAAAACTGTTTCTGTGGAAATGAATGTCCATATTTTCGGGGGCGAAAAACATTTTTCTAACAGGTTTTAATCATGTTTCACATTGAAATAGAGAGTACATTTATTATTTGTGAAGATTGTTGAATATATTAAAGACTGAAGTTCGCAATATCAACAGAAAACCATCTCTGACTCCCCATTTTGCAAAAAAATAAGAAATTGACAAATATTTACATGGAAAAGAAAATGGCACACCGAAAGTGCCCCTTTCGTGCAAGTTGTGATACATTACTGTAATCAGGAAAAAGAAGGAAAAACAATTGACTCTAAGATATACAGAGTGTTGCATTTGAAAAATAAGAACATTGGGGCAAATCTCAGACACTGTGGCCCAAACATTTTAGTTTGCAACACTTTTTTAAGGCCACACAATTAATCCCAAACAAAATGCCAATGCCATATGTTTTCGTAAGGTTGACCACGTGGATTTATTTTTAAGTATTTATTTATTGGCCAACATTTTTTATCGTAAAACAGTACTCGCGTCTTCTATTGATAAAGCAATCTTTAACTCACATATGGGTACTTTCTGATTCGAGAAGATATACCTGGTGCGATTTAACAAACTAGAGTGGAAAATTTGAACAAAACAAATCCACCTGATCATCCTTATCAGGTTAGACGCAGATAGTGATTTATAGTCCCTTGATAACCAAGTTATTTAGTTTCCCAACTAGGACATCCCCTTAAACTAAATTACTTAGAGCTTAATTTTGCGCTAAATCTTAAAGTTTGTCGTACAGTTACAGGTGGATGTAACGTTTACATAATGAAATTTGCCTCTTCCGTGAGTTAACTACCTAGATTTATTAAATTATAACAAATTAATATCACACATTTCGTGTCTTCATCAAATCACATCCGCCATTGCCCACAATCGCATTTTCTGCTAGAAAGAGAATAATGTAAATGTACCGTTCCGGTAAAATGTCGATATTGCCAGTTGTATGTCTAATAATCTAACATCGCCACTTAGTTATTCTGCCAGCTTCGATCCAGTCTGATTTCCCCTTTATTGCAAGTGCGAATTTTCCTCAGGTCTAAATTTGTAGATATTACAACTTAGAAATGCCGATTCCACTTTAAGATTATTCTTATCCGCATGAAAGTATACCATAAATAATTCCGCTTTCTCAAAGTGGCCAACATTGATTAAATTTAGGGTGGTTTGGATTGCGTGTTCCCCTTTTTAATAGTTCAATGGTTCATTACTTCTCGGTCAAAAGTTCAATTAACGCAAAACTGCGAGTAGACAACGTTGAAATGAAAAAAATTATGAACAAAATTGATTCGCGAGCAAACAGCACCAAACCTGCATCGGTGGAACTGTGTAATGAGTCGACTTCGCGTGCAAGTTAATTTAAATGAAACTAATAAGGTAAATTTCCGTATCGCCAGTCAAGTGCTTTCATTAGAATTCATTAATGTAAAATTGTAGTGTCTTTGAAGTTATCAGTTGCCAACCATCAGCTTTCTCATTTACAGTGATGCACGAGAGAGATTATGCGTAAAGTGTTCTAGGTGCCCTTTTTTTTATTAACAGCAGCTAATCTCCATTATGCCTAACTATGAAAACGTATTGTACCATAAAGAAGCTGTAATGCTTAATATGCCCGGAATCTTATTAATCCTGGAATATTATCTCTATGAGTCACGCGGCAACGTGGATTACCCATAAATATATGAGAATAATTAGATTGGGCGACGACCTGAGCGAAGTATGAAATGGCAATGGCTGCCATTTTGACGCCCGCCATACAGTAAATAATAATATAGAATATGTGTATTTTTTCAAATTATAATAGTTATTTATGGTATAAGTGTGTTATATTACAAATAAGTCACACGAGAAAAAAGTAAGCCCACGAGGCCGTCAGGCCGAGTGGGGTTATTTTCTCAAGTGACTTATTTGTAATTAACACACGTGCACCATACAAAACTTTATCCAACACCTCCTCAAGCTGGTTTAAAACGTGGAAATCTTAAAAACTGCGTGTTCCGCGAAAAGCTAGAGTGCATGGAATACAAAAGCAATAATTCGTTGCTATGGGGAATAATAAACAACAAAAAATTTAGTCAGAAAATTTTCTGAATAATGGCAGATTTGCAAGAACCCCTTTTTGTTCCTGAAGAAGTAATGAAACAGGCTGAGGCAGCATGTCTTAGTTTGCTGCCAAGAAAATCTAAAGACAATTACGACAAAGAGTTCCGCCAGTTTGAAGAATGGAGGGAACAGCAAGGTCTGAATGGAGTCAACGAAGAGGTCATGCTGACTTATTTCCACAATTACAGAAGAAAATTGGCACCTTCTTCGATGTGGACGAAATATTCCATGGTAAAAAGTACTTTGAAGGTATATAAGAATGTCGACATATCAAAATATGGAAAACTGATCAGCTATCTGAAGAATGAAGCAAGGACTCACAAACCTAAAAAGGCGAAGACTTTGGAAAGAGAACATGTAGAGAAGTTTTTGACACAGGCACCTGATAGTAAATACTTGATGATAAAGGTACCGATTCATAATTTCTTTATATATTAGCTTTATGTTCATGTGTTTTGTATTTCTCTAGGTTGCATTGGTAATGGGGATATCAGGTGCCTGTCGTTGTGATGAAATCACCAAACTGACAGTTGTGTCACGAAGTTTTACTATCATGACAGAAGGATTCTCTATAAACATTCTGGAGCTGTACAGGAAATATGTTTCTTTGAGACCCAAGAACGTTCCACACCGCAGATTTTTCGTGAATTACCAGAAAGAGAAATGCACTCACTATCCAGGCAGTTGGTATAAATACCATATCTAAGGTACCCCAGGCAGTTGCTTCCTTCTTGAACCTACCCGAAGCCCACTCATATACTGGACACAGCATGAGACGTGCGTCTGCAACTCTTCTGGCAAACGCAGGAGCCGATATAACAACACTGGAAACGCCACGGTGGATGGAAATCGTCCACGGTGGCCGAAGGCTATATCCAAGATTCAGTCAACAACAAAATCGATATAGCCAAAAGGATTCAAGGAGGCGCCAAAAAAAAAAGTCGTTGATATTCCGTTAGCCTCGACTTCCTTCTCGAATGAAATGGATTGTGTTTCTGTTGAAAATTCTTCCGACATACTTCATGATTCCAAGGCAACATCGAAGAAGAAAACGATTTCCTTTAATTTCAATATCAATGTGAATTTAAATTAGATTTTTGTGTTGATTTTGTCAGAATAATTAATAAAAGAATGTTCCTGTACTTTATCTTGCTAGTGAGTTAATTTACGTCCATAACTCATTAGTGGGTTATATTATACCTTACTCGTTTAATTTCGTCATGATAATGACTGGATAACATAGAGGTGTTGGATAAAAAATCTTAGATTAGAAGCATTGTTTATTTATTTAAAAAAAACTGAGCTAGAAGTGTTGTTTCCCATCCGAAGTAGTTATAATGAAGCTTTTAGTGTACAAACCAGGTATGGCCATTAATTGGTGTTGCAAAACAGTACATCCGCGAGATATGCGACTTATAACGCTTTGTACCTCTTCACACTGGGCGATTTAGTAGCACTGCCTAGGCGCGCTGCGGGACGGGACGCAGTGCAGCGCTACTGAGCAGACAGTAGTGCGACGGAGTCACCTTAAGGGTCTGCCGTACTAAAATCAAGTTGATGTGATCGGATTAATTTTAAGGTATATTACAGCAGTTACTTCTATGAATGTTTCTTAAAAAGGAAATTTGAATTGGAGCTGTACCTTTTTGTCAAAAATTATTTAAAGTTGTAAAAAACGTAAATTTCATACAATCATAAGTTTGATTCTATAAAAGGAAGTGTTCAAATTTTATAACTAGTTAGATTAAATCATACCGGTATATTGCATTATGTGAAATGTTAATTACATTTTAGTTAAATAGTAAAAAACTTCAAACAAGTGTTTTTTTAATTTTCCTATATACCGATGTCTGTAGCATGTTCTGTTAAAAACTATACAATTTAAAAAGTTTATGATTACCCTTTGTTTAATTACTGAATTTCTCTTGAAATGCACTAAATCCCGCCTATATGTTCAGGTTAATAAAATTTCACCTTCCACCACCCATGGGATGGGTATCTTTGCGTCTTATCGGTGAAAATATCCAATCACATTTTATAACATGGTATAATTCTTACCTAAATTTTTAGGTAAGTAAGGTAGGTTAGTTTTGTTCAGGACTTCATGTATAAGTGTACCCATCTTACCCAATACAAACAGCTTCAGATCAGCGACAGTAGATAATTATTTTATACACTTAATATTAACAAACTTTAAAGATGAGTCAAACTTCTTGCTTCCCAGATAGCACAGTTCGTTTTATGTACGTCCGTTATTAAGCTGTTATTAGTACATACGTCCTTGGACTAAATATGTACTTCCATCATACGTACAACAGCACACGTTCCATGTACGTAAGGTACACGTATGTACCGTGTACGTCCATTTATGAGTTATTGTTGTTGCGTAAGACTTATTACCAAATTTGTACATCCATCGTACGTACGTGTTAAGACGTCCTATGTTGGTACAACACCGTTCGTTCAGTGTTACTATTCGCGTTTACAGTTTACACTGTTGGTAGCGGCGGCTAATTTTTTCGTAGTTGGTAGAACTCGACACTCGTCCCGTTACGTGTTTTACAGGTTCCATTTGTTTAATGCTTTGTTTTGTTGTAGTGTAGTTATTTTATGGATTACACTTTTACAGGTAAACAAATAATAATTGCAAGTAGTTAAAATGAGGAATGAATTTAAATAATTTGTTGCAGGCGTTGTATGAAGTATTTTCGCGGTTTATTTTGTACGTAACCTCAAATTTGTTGGCGGTAATTTTCAGGATTACATCTCCAATTTGTAGAAAAACTCAAAAAGGTATTCCTATAATATATCCTATAATTTAAAAAAATAAATGCAAACACTTTTCAAGTGCGCAATGATCAACAACGTACTTATATCGAAGTACAACAGCCTATGCTTGACAAAAATTGTGACAAAACCGTTGTCCATACACTAGAAACACCAAATCAAAAAGAAATTGGAGTTAAAGATGTTTATAGTAAGTGCTAAAATAAGTTTTTTCTTTTGTACTCCACTGGTTTATGATTACTATTGCAGACCTATTGTTAAGGCTCACAAGAAAGCAAGAGTTATTACAGCTGGTAGTAACGGACATAAAGGAAAGTTTAATTAAAATGGAGACTGTATTATTGAGAAACCATCAGGTTGACGTAGAAACAGGAGATGCGGAATCCATTTTCCTTAAATTTAACCTACCCATTGATGGTGTCGAGAAGCTAAAAGAATTTGAAGCTTACTTCATTGAAAATGAGAAAGCATTTAAAAAAGCAGTGAGTAGTTCTTGAATTGCTGCAAATTTATATACATTGCATTATTAATTGTAGGTTCATGAAGTATCTCAATTAGGAGGGAAGCATTTGTATGACTTTATTTATAGGGCTGGGAGAACATTAATTACAAATAGCTTCGCATCAAAGTTCAGCTACTTGGGAAAGCGACAGAAAGAATCTTTTAAAATTCTTAAGATGAATAATTTGTTGATAGGTACATTTTGTGCTGCATAAGGTATAAATACCTAATTATACTATATAACATTTCTTGTAGAATCTGCTATGCATCTTCATAAACAAGCTACTGTCAAGGATGTAGAGGTGGAGATCTCGAAATGGCTTAAAAGAGCTGCAGAGAGGGCAAAAAATGAAAAAGAATAAGTCTACTTTTATCTTCTTTCGACCTAACTTTTAAAATAAATTAATTCATATTTAAAATATATTGTTTTTAGTTTTCACCCAACACTACATCTATATAAGATTTATTTTGAATTTGTATGTAACAGTTAAAATAAAATTTCTTAATTTCTTGTTCCATATCAAGTTAACTAAAAACAATAATTTCTATATTCAACAAACAATGGGAAGCATAATGCTTCAGCATTCGACTCTTCAGTTTTGAGGGAAAACGCCAGACAGGACACGGTCTGTTTACTAAAACGGTTGCCTCATTCGCAGAAGTTTATAGAAATGTGACGTAGCTCTGAATGTAAAAAAAATTAAACCCATATCATATTAGCTAATCAATTTGACATACAACACACAAATCAGCTAATAACTATGCGATTCATTTTTTTACATTTGGAATTACGCCAGGCATTTACAAACTGCTTTCACTGAGGCAACCGCTTTAGTATACTGACCATAGATCAGTCGGCAGCAGCAATCAAACATGACCTCCAGCTTCGGTCCATACTGAATATACATTGTACATACTGAAAGTATGTACATGGTATGACCTAATATAATGTATTATGTACGTACAAAATGTATGTAATGTGGACGTCCAATTTGTTGACAAAAAGACTAATTTTGGACCAAAAAAATCTCATAACTGGACCAATTGTGGACAGGCTATGGACGGAAAAGTGATCAATACAGACGTCTCTTGGACGTCCACTGTATGTCCTTGTGCTATCTGGGTTATTTCATAGCGAAAATTTCTCTTTGTAGCACCAAAGTAAGAAATAAGTCTCAAAGTAGAAAACTTTAAGGCTGTACCCTTAGATTAGAATAAATCTTCTCGTATAAAGTCGTAAAACTTCTCGTATGCCACCTTTTCTGCTGTATATTGTTGTGCAAATGTGTTTTGTATCGGAGATTTTGGACCTTTGTTTAAATAATCGCTTTACTTTGTTTTATTTTATCGAAAAGTTGAATTACGTGTGGAAAGATAAGGGACAGTTGGAAATATTTGCGTGTTAACTCCGGTCATTGCGATAAGAGCTGCGCTTCGTAAAGATAATTATGTTTGTACATAAGCAGATGTTTTTCGCCGTAAAACCACAGGTGCGGTTTTATCGAGGACGCAATTGGAGGTAAACGGAAAGGAAAGCAGGTTTTAAATAGAAGAGACGGACGTTAAACGAAGCCTGTTGGTATGTGGGTGCTTGTTGATCTGTGTCTTTGGTCAAGTTCTTTTGTTAGGCTTTTTGTGTTAGTGGAGGCTTTTGGTGTATGGCAGTCGGCCGTATTTAATCGTATTTGTTGCAAGACAGTTACTCCGGCCAATTGTAAGTTCTTGTAGAAGGTAGATAGAGAGCGTTTAAAGGAATTTTATTCCCTCGTTTAAAGTGAATCGTTAAGCGTGTTTCACGTTTTACGAAGAAGTTAGTCGAAATGTTGTGTTCATCGAGCAGTTATCGCTAATGTGAATGCTTTCTTTGAGGTGTTCCCGTTAAAAGAGTTTTTCCACCATCAAAGAGTCAATTTTACATCTGTAATTACAACGAACCCAGTCTCTAGTGCAATTAAAGTGACACGTGTGTGACCGTTATTTGCTTCAAAAGCAAATGATCCAGATCAGATTACTACGGGGAAATAAACAAGGACAGTTTTTGTAAGTGATTAGGAGACCATTTGCTACCAAATTTAAAAGAACCATCGTTGATTATTATATACAACGCTAAAGTTATCACAGTAGCTTACTGGAAAACTTCCAAATTCTTCTTGGACTAAAGCACAACTACAGGCATAGCCACATCACAAAAATTTTGAGTTTCTCAATGATCCATTAAAAGTAGAATTGCTGGAGATTGTTTCAAGGTTTGTTCCCTTAAATTCCATGCTGCATGGTTTATTCGTAGTAATACTTTTAGTTTCGAGACTAAAAATTTGTTATTTCAGCAACAACCCTTCAAAACGGTAGGCTGCTGATAAGGTGGCATTAGAAAATGGACATGTGATACTAAGTTGCCTCTCTACCATTTCTTTATCAATCTCATGGCATATAGGGCAGGAGGGGTGATAGTTTTCGTGTTAAAAAAATACGCAGTAAGAGCAAATTCACTGACAATGACAACTGCGGACGCAATTAAGTTAACAGTTCACATTGACTGTCAAATAGCTCTGTCTATAATTGCAGTCTATCGTCTTCACGCTTTTCATGTAAATATGTTTTTGAGCCAATTAAATGAAGAATTATTAAAATCTAAGGAGAAAAATCTACTTTTTATTGGTGATGTCAATCTCTGCATTCTGGAGGCATCGACAATTGTAGACAACTACCAACTATTAATGAGCAGTTATGGTTTTGAGCAACTGATTAACACACCAACTAGGGGAAACCGATGTTTAGACCACATGTACTTGAGAACCCGAGATAATCTTCTGTCCGACTCATATGTTTTAGAGTCTGGTAGAAGTGACCACGATGTAATTATGTGTTCCTTTCTTCTTGATAACTACAAAAATACAAATCAATTCAATAACACCCAAGCTCAATATAAGACAGACTATAAACAAATGCATTCGTTATTAAGCAAAGAAGAGTGGACCTCTGTCTTCGCTAGCAATAATGCTTCTGAGGCATTTGACAAATTTTTAGTATCCTATAAAGATATTATTGACAAGTCAACCTTTACTCAAACAAAAAAATCAGGAGTTAAGTTGCTGAAGCCATGGATGACGTTTGAGCTTTGTGAGAGACTGAAACATAGAAATCTGTTGTATAAAAAATTAAAGAAAAATCCTGAAAATTTAAAATTAAAACAGTGCTTTCAGTCAGTCTCCTTAAAGCTGAAACAAAATATTCAAACTCAAAAAAGCAACTATTATTATAAACTTTTTGAAACCAACAAGGGTGACACCAAAAAACAATGGCAAACTGTAAATGCCATCTTAGGTCAAAGGATTGAAAAAAAGAGCATTGACTGTATTATGAAAAATGAAAAACCAAACATATTGATATATGACAACCTAGAAATTGCAGAAGAATTCAATCACTTTTTCACCACTGTTGTAGCACAGATTAAATTTTGTCTGTGGTTGTAGGCAGGCTTTTGGAAAATCTTGACTCATTTGATGGTTTTAATATGTGCGCATACAAAGAGACTTTCCCTTCAATACATGTCAGTAACTCTTTCTTTCTCTTGCCCACCTGTAAATTTGAAGTCTCCGATATTATAAATAATTTAAATGTCAATAAATCACCTGGTATTGATGGAATCTCATCCCGAACCATCAAAATGTCCAAAGAGTATATTAGTTCAGTACTCTCGTATATTTTTAATCTAAGTTTTGAAACAGGGGAATTCCCTTCCAAATTAAAGACAGCTGTTGTAATTCCGTTACATAAAAAAGGAGATTCAACAGAGTTGAACAATTATAGGCCCATTTCACTGCTATCTGTCTTTGCGAAAATATTGGAAAAGCTAGTTAAATCTAGGCTGCTTAAGTTTTTGAATTCAAAAAATTGTTTAAGTTCAAACCAATATGGATTTATTGGGAAAAAATCTACCGAGGACGCCTTACTATCGTTTTGTACCAAAATATACAATGGAATCAATTCAAAATTAAATACGGCTGGTTTGTTTATCGATATTACCAAGGCATTCGACTCTGTTGATCATAATATCTTATTAGCTAAACTGGAGGCTGTAGGAATTCGAGGTGTTGCCAAAACTTGGTTTAAAAGTTTTTTAACTGAAAGAAATCAATGTGTAAAAATAAAAAACGAAACAAGTTCTCTTCTGCCGATGTCGTCGGGAGTACCGCAAGGTTCGGTCCTTGCACCAACATTATTTATTTTATACATAAATGAATTGTGTTTGGGGAATTTTCAGGGTACAGTGACTTGTTTTGCAGATGACACTGCGTTAAGCTATTCGGCTAGTAACTTTAGTACACTAAAAAGTAATATTCAATCAGATCTGAACAAACTAAAAACATGGTTTACTGTAAATAAGCTAGCATTAAGTTCCAAAACTAAACTGGTCTATTTCTCGCTACGACACAAAGAGCATATAAATGAGGATGTATATTTTAAATGCAAAAAATGTTTGAGTGGTTCGACCGAGGATATTAATTGTAGTAAGTGTGTATTAATTGAACAGGTAGAGAAAATAAAATACTTAGGGTTAATCCTAGACAAGAATTGCACCTGGAAGGAACATATACAATCAGTTAAAAAATATACTTATATGTCACTAAGGAAATTTTACCTCCTAAAGTTTGTCTGTCCAATGGAAGTATTAAAATCTGTTTATTTCGCATTGATAAACAGCAAACTGGAATATGGGCTAAGCTGCTGGGGGGGAGTATATCAATCATTAATCCAACCACTTCTTATATCTCAAAAGAGAGTTATAAGACAAATTTTTCAAATCAGAAGAAATGAGCATTCGTTTCCTTATTTTACATTGCTGCGGGAACTCCCTATCAGACATTTGTATGTATATAGAGTCCTGCGCATTTTTTATATGAGAGGCGGCCAAAAAACTGCAAATGAGGAGGTTCACTCGGCAAGACTGAGGAAATTAAATCGTGTAGCACTTTTAAAACCCACGTGTGAGGCATTTAAAAGATTTTACAGTTACACCACTTTATCGTTTTTCAATAAGCTGCCTCTTGAAGTTAGTAACGCAAACAACTTGACCAAGTTCTTAAAGAATTTAAAAAATTGGCTGTTTACATTAAATTTTGATGAAATAGAAAAACTTTTGACTAAAAATTGATTTCCTCTACGTCACTTAAAAAGCACTTATGAATTAACATTTTTATTTTTATTATTTTTTTTTAAATACATCCAACTTATGTTTAAATCAATTGCTTATTCTATAGAGTGTATCTATTGTAGTTCCTGCAACTGATATGTTACTGTGTTATATTTTTTATAGAAGGTAACCTCAACACAGCATTGCTCGGAGGTACCTGCCATGTGTCACGTAAGAAAATTTTCTGTTACGTAAGCTATACTTTTTGTTTGTGCTCCGTTGTGATACATGGAAATAAAGATTTACTCTCTCTCTCTCTCTCTCTCTCTCTCTCTCTCTCTCTCTCTCTCTCTCTTCTCTCTCTCTCTCTCTCTCTCTCTCTCC